CCGTGGTGGGCAGAGCACAGATAGCCCTTGTGTAGCTTTGTGCATAATTAAAAACAAACAAACAAACTTATACACATAATAGTTCTTAAGTATTTAACTTCTTGTAATATTTATAAGTTTCAAGATAAGTCATTTGATGCATATGTTGGTGTGTAAGTAATATATACACACACAACAAATATATACACATTTACAAACAAAACAGGGTAACAGGATACAGTAGCTGATACACTAGATTCTGATCATTTTTTCGACTAAAAGTACAGGGTATACTAAAACATACATGCAGTTTGCCAACTTTTACATATTTCTTGAGTGTTTAAGAGAATGTGTCATTCTACAAACATCGGAGTATTTATTTTACTTGAGATTTAGTAACAGACTAAAACCAGAACAAATGTAAGTTATTGCTTTAGCAGGAAGTCTTATGCTTCATGACCAACTGATGAAGAAATGTTCGTTTTGTGGACAATCAATATGTTGGCCTTACCCAGCCGTTTCGGTATTTGTATGTGTTTAAAAACTGGTTATATTGAAAACAAAATCATGTATTTTTGTCGTGGAGCCATTTGTTTGATTAAATATATTGCGAAGGTTCCGAGAATACAGAAGAAAATGCCGTGGCTATGCAACTACTTGGTTTCTGTATCTGGTCAATGTATTCAAGATAAGAATCTGCAGTATTTGCATATATTTACATTTGCAGAATGGTCTACTAATATTGCATATATGTATACCAGGACTTAATGCTAATATTAATCTTTTTCTGTTTTTCATAGATGAAACATGTTATTAGTGCTATATCTCTCTCCAAACCTGTATATAAATTTGGTATCGACATATTTGAGATAATCATTTCTAATTTAACCTGTAACAACAACAAGACAGTTTTGTGAGAGGATGTCACCTAGTAGTTCAATAGTAACCACAATAATGAACCTACATTCAACAAGATTCACCACAGTGAACGACTGCTTTTGAGTAATGTTAGTTAAAATAACAAATTATTGAATAATGTTTGGATATTCTACGTTTCTGTCTTCTCAGTATCTGAACGGTTTGTGTGTTTTCGAACTTCGCGCAGAGCTACTTGAGAGATATCTATGCTAGCAGTTCCTAATTTAGCAGTGATAGACTAAATGGAAGGTAAGTTAGTCAACATCACGCACCACCAACTCTTGGGCTATTCTTTTACCAACGAATAGAGCGAGTCGAGTGCCCTAACTACCAGACCATGCCAGATATGGACTTGCGCAGCTATTTTGCTGTGACTTTATGTCTGTGTAGTGTAATATATAATGATCATGTTTACAATATAATAAACCATAAATGGGAAGCAGATTAATCAGAAGTATATTTAGTTTCGCCATATAGACGTGCTTCGTTGTTACGTTAGTTTCCGAATTCACGTAACAAAATATTTCGTATACGAAGTCTTTTCGGGTATTTAACGCATGCCATTACTTTACTCCCATTAAGAGGAATTTATTTGGTTACATTTAATTACATTAAGTATTTGAAGAACAACCTATATGAAATACCGACAAGCCATGTTCGTCGATAACTTGGGATAGCATGTCGCATGACAATGTTGCTCCATAATTTAGAATGTCGTTAAAAGTATGGAATATTGTTACACAGAGAGTAGAAACTTAATGTTTGCTTTAATGTTGAAACGCAACATACAATTACACTCTTACATTTCTATACGTCAATAAATATAGATTTCTTCTTTTCTCAGATTGTTACTTATAAATTAATTTATGTATAATTGTGTTTATTTGGTGTGCTATTTAGTGTGCTATTTGGCTATCGCTAATGAGATTTCTTCTTGATCTTGTGACATAACAAACAGCATGTGCAGCGTATATATAGTGTATTGAAATATAACTACACAGGGAGTTTTAACGCTAATATTCTGGTTAAGATTCCCGTGTCGGACAGATCGAAGGTAGCTCATTGTTCAGCCTTTTCACCAAACCAAAGACTAAATATACAGGTATAATCATCATTAAATACATGATATAATAATATCACAGCATAGCCTAGAAAAACATTATTATATAAAAAACAAATGAATAATTATAGTTTCTCATTAAGGGTTTCTATAGACAGAATTTTATGTGTTAAATCCATTTGATTTTTGTAAAGAATACTGTCCGTTATTTTTTGGTACACGTAGAAAATATAGCAATATACCTAAACGCTTTGTTTAACTTTATATTCGTTATCAAACGTAATCTTCTGATATACTAAGGTTTAAGATTTTCGGGTAATTACGGGTACCAGATTTAAAATTCGTGAGGAAAACAAAACAAGTGTAAGTTCCTTGTAATATATATAACTTTACCAGAGTCAATAATCTTTTAATAACCTTTCACTGCCGAAAATGAATTCAGTTTTAAAACTTTATCTTGCATTATTTAAATATTATATATGATGTACGTCATGTCAGTAATTAAGCTTAGGATCTTCCGATTTCGAGATACAATGATAGACATTCAAAGATCATCACGAAAACTCTTTTCTTGTTTTTCATAGGATTCCTAAACCTGTATTTGCTGAAATCTTATAATACTTGTTCCACAAGGTATTTTAGTGTCAGAGTTTGATTTCTCTTCTGCTTTTAAAGCATGTTCAGTGGATTTTATCTTACAATTACGGTAGTATTTCTGGATGAAAGTGCTCTTCGATATTACGAAATAAAATCATTGGCACGTACAGTTAAGCCTAACCGGGAGAGTCAACATCAATTTTTAAATGTTATGAGATAGTAGTTTCATTATCATTGTAAGTTTAATGTTGTTAGGCATCATTCTAACAAAAAAGACATGAATTTCCTGACAATTTTTGTATACAATGTGCACTCAAATTCTATCATTACTGTGACCGTGTTGTCCTTTCACAAGGTATGAGTTTTATTTATTTGTTTGTTTCGGATATTCACGCAACGTTAAGGAAGAGCTATCTGCACTATCCGCCGTTTCTAATTTTGAGCTGATATAAGAGATGAAATACAGCTACTCGACAGCAGTCACTGTTAATCTTGTGTCACTCTAATCGAATAGTGGAATTTCACTGTCACTCATATAACATACCCCAAGGTGCGAAGCACAATTTTGTGGCAACAGGGACCCTCAGTTTCATTGTCCGGAGGATTAATATCAGAAAGAAGTCACATAAGAAAGTAAAAAATCTGAGTTTTATCTCAAATAGTTTCAAAAACTTTCCATTTTAGTTTCATGTTTTTATAGTTCCATATACCATACCATGTAAGGCCAGTTGAAAGAACTGTGATATTTATCATAGGGATTACATAACTCTCAGAGAAAGTCACCTTTCTTGTTTTTTGTTGTTGTTTTATTTTCGGGCCTATTAGATGCGTAATAAAAGCTATTACATGAGAAAAAAAAATAATGAGGCAAAAATGAGAGAACAAGAAAGTCTTTAACAACGTCAATGCGACTTAACAAAGAGAGTTCCGTCGTTGCTCCCCGTGCCAATACCCCATTATACGTATTTTCTCAGTCAGTAGTATGAAACATCAAGTAATTAGCGCCACCAGCTAGGTAACTATGTTATATTATAAAAGTTACAAAAAGACGGGTTTTATGATTTTGAATATTCCGACGCAACGGTGCAATTAGCTTACAATTTCCCACTCAGAGGAATCTAATGGACTGAGTGAGATACCATGTTCGTTAGTAAATGAAATGTTTAAATTGTCTGATTGTCTAACATTACAAGGTAACAATCTGCCTTTATCGTGGAAGGTAATTACCTGCAGTTCAGGAGCTTGACGAGCCATAAATTCGTGCAATGTTTTATTTTATATTTCATAAGGGAGAAAAACTATGGAACTACCGTGTAGAATAAAACTGATTTCTTATGGATGTATTGATAAATTTACTTTTCATATTATGATTGTTTCTCGGCTATTATTCTCATCTTTACTTATTCTTGTGTCCTGTCAGATGATCAAAACATACAAGTTAACAACATTTCGTAGAAAAAGTAAAATATATCGTTAATTTAGTACAATGAAGTAAACCTCTTGTTAGTCTGTTAATTGCTACACGTGCCAAGTCAACTTTCTGTATTGCGACATTTTACCATGTACTGCAACTTTATTCTACTTTAGCGTCTCTAGTTTAAAATTCCACACATCATTCGTTGTTTATTTATGCACATTGGTTGACATCTAGACAATAGAAGGACAAGCTAGCTTGTACAACAGGAAGCGAGACCTCATTTTATTTTATCTTATTTTTATTTTTTAGGTATGGAGGATTAGAACTGAACGTGGCACGCAGGAAGAACGTGACTCGCGACTCGACGAGCACTCTCAAAGCCTGGTTGAACGAGCATCGTAAAAATCCCTACCCAACTAAGGGGGAAAAAATAATGCTGGCGATCATTACTAAGATGACATTGACCCAAGTGTCCACGTGGTTTGCAAATGCTAGAAGACGCTTAAAAAGAGACAACAAAATGACTTGGGAACCAAGAAACAAAACTGAAACTGATCCTGATGACAATTCGGACGTTAAAAAGAACAATGATGCAGAGGAACCGGAAATCCAAGATCAAGTAGATAAAGGTGATGACAGCTGTGAAGACAGTAATGCCGGAAAAGGTGACGTCAGCATACGGAGCAACGGCCCTACTAATGAGGAAGGTTTTATGTTAACAGTTGATTGTAGTGAGCCTAGCAGAACAGATCAAGAATACCAAATAAAAACTGCCTCAATACCAGGTATGTTTACAAGCTAAAACTTCGTCAGTACCTATAAAACTGCCTCAATACCAGGTAAGTTTGTAGGCTAAAACTTCGTCAGTACCTATAAAACTGCCTCAATACCAGGTAAGTTTGTAGGCTAAAACTTTGTCAGTACCTATAAAACTGCCTCAATACCAGGTAAGTTTGTAGGCTAAAACTTCGTCAGTACCTATAAAACTGCCTCAATACCAGGTAAGTTTGTAGGCTAAAACTTCGTCAGTACCTATAAAACTGCCTCAATACCAGGTATGTTTACAGGCTAAAACTTCGTCAGTACCTAAAGAAAAAAGTATTATTCCAGAATGTTAATCTATACATTCATCAAAAATAAGTTATTGGCCTCAACAGCAAATAATATATTAAATTAAAGTTTCATAATAAAATAGATTATGTTATTAGTATTCTGGAAGTAAGCTCTTCCGGATCACGAATGATGAAATCTGTATAATTCCAAAACGTTCGTTGAATATGGTTTGTTCTGTTGCCGATTTGTTATATAACTATTATTTCATATTAATTTTATATCAGTGCTTAAAAGATCTGAAGGTATTTAACTATATTAAATCTAAAATATGTTATATGCATTATGTCGTCACTCTTTTGAACTCTTTAAGTCAAAACAGAACAAAAGGGAATAACGGGTTGTCGCTAAAGGATATATTTTATATTCTCCAGATACTATTATTTACTATTAGCTAAAATACATTTAAAGTATTAATGCCACCCATATTTCGCTAAATATAATCCTATATATGATTTTTATGATGATTAATTTTAGGATAGAAAATTCCATTGAAGGTCTTCTTTTTTTTTCATTAAGGTTAAAGCTTACGTTTCTACAATACAATTTCAGCAAACTATGAACACTTCAAATTGTATAAGTAGCTCTTAGCCTATATGAAAAAGTAAACAGACTTACCAGTCACTAACTTACCTATAAACGTTTGGAAATTTAGAAACTTTGTGATATTTCATTTTGTTTTTTTAAGGATATCTAAATATCTACTGTTACACTCGTAGAACTGACTTTCTTCATTCACTTAATGTAAAAGATGAGAAATCTTATTAAGGTCAGGTAGTTAAGTCACTTTAACAGAAATATTATCGCACAAGTTGAATGAAGCTCAACTGTGATGTTGGGTAAGAAATTAAATGAGGTAGAAATACTGTGTAAAGTTTTTCTGAAAAATATGTTCAATTACAATGAAAAATGAGCTTTACTGGAACACAAATTACACTTAAGTATTATAGTCTATTTTACAAAAAGCTTGGATAATATTGGCATAGATTTAATATTAAAAAACACATACTGTCATAACTTGTAGTCGGTCAGCTATATAATCTGTAAATGGATTAAATAAAATTGATAATAATCACACTTCGCTTACTTAATCTAGTTCACACCATTACAGTAGTTGTCCATGCAGTTGATGATATAAATAGTGCCTAGACTACTACTATGTCTATTGGCACTTGGCCCATTAGAACGATGACCTCTCATCGAACTTCTAATCTTTAACCTCGAGCAGGGTGAAGGAGGATTACTAATCTTCGAACACCCTTGGTGATTAATAGTTTTTCTCTAAACTATTAACTTTACACCAAAATAACTACCATAGACTAGGTCTATTGTATCTCGGCCCGGCATGGCCAGGTGGTTAGGGCGCTTGACTCGCAATATGAGGGTCACGGGTTCCAATCACTGTCCCACCAAACGTGCTCACCTTTTCAGCCGTGGAGGCGTTATAATTTAACTGTCAATCCCAGTGTTCGTTGGTAGTAGAGTAGCTCAAAAGTTGGCGATGGGTGGTGATGACTAGCTGCCTTCCCTCTATCTTTTCCCTGCTAAATTAGGGACGGCTAGCGCAGATACCCCTCTTGTAGCTTTGCGCGAAATTCAAAACAAACCAAACTGTTGTATCTCAGCCGACTTGATGAACCCTGGTATTCAGCGAAAGGCCTTATCGGCACTAGATATAACAGATATAGGGTGGTTAACATATTATTACATATTCGTCTTTACTTTCAATCGTATAACTGCTTAAAATATTTATGTTTCGAAAAGTAAGCGGAATTAAAATCAAAATTTAGTCATAATAATAAAAAACTACCTATTCATAAGTAGTATCATATATGCTAAAAGTCAAGTAGAATATCAGATATAGAACTAATTTTCAAACATTATAACAACTTATTGTATAAACGAACTATAAGTTTTATCTTTATTCTTTGTCTAGTTTTTGTTGCATGTCTATGCAAATGAATTTATTGTGAAACACTGGCAAGTGTCTCTTTTTGTTCCTTTCCACTTTGTAATTCCTGCATACGCATATCGATTTATGTAAATCTTAAGTACCTAAAGATGTATTGTGAGCTTGAACACTAGCGCTATATCTATTATCTTGAGGAAAGTGGAACCATTGGTCACAGAATACCGGTTATAGTTACCGAACAACAACTAGAAACGTTTCAAACGCCATCGAAATATAATGCCTTCCTCATCAGGAAGATATGCCTGACTTTCATGATATATATGTTTTCTGAAGAACAAAAAAGGACATCAAGATTGATGTTATAACATATCGTCTTCATAGTTAAAGACGGAACCATAGCTGGGCAGCAAAAGTCAATTAAAATAGTTCTGGCTCAAGTGAAATGAAAGACTCAAATTATTTTGCTGAAAACTTCATTTAAAAATATGCTTTATAAAAACTTAAAATACCCCTAAAAATGTTGACTGTATTAAAGCCAAATTCATATTCAGTTTTAGTGGTTTCCATGCGTATTGCGTCACGATAGAAAATTCACTAATTTGTATTAAAAAGTACACTAATCGTGATTTTTAACAACATCACGGCTAAGAGAAATTTTTCGTAATGTGTCTAGTTTTTTACCTGATTGATGTGTAAGCATAACAGTAATTTTTTTTTTCAATCTTACGCTGATAAAGAAACGAACTTTAATTTCTATGTGTAGACATTTGTAATGGCTGTGCTTATTTTCCTTATTTCACACAAAACTCATGAAGCATGAACTCTAAAATCTCTAAAACTTGCGTTAATTAATGTATTTTACTAATTTAAGATTGGTTTGAAATAAATACTTACATCAATATGACTAATTGTGTTGTTAAATATAAAATATGTTTAAATAAAACATCAATAATCTATAAGTTGCATCACGAAAGTATGCTTAAAGTGGATTCCTTTACGTAGTAAGTTAGAAAAATATAACTTGCTTTATCCCTCTATTAACAATTATTATGTTGACATAATGTCATTTGAGAAAAATAATTTAAAAACAGGAGATGTGCTACCGCCAATGTGAAACGTTAGTTTGAAATTTGTTTAATTAAACACTAAAGTACTGTAAGTTATTTCTGTTTGATGCTCCTTTTTTGATTTAGTCATAATAGCATTTTTTTCAGAATCTAAATCTATATAATTATGTTGAATGTTTATAGGAGACAGATGAGTTATAATTTCTTTTAAGCAGATAAAAATTTTAGGATCTACGAGCAATTTATATCTGTACAATACAACAGGTCTCCGATCTTTATCAAACTGTCATTTTTATTCTTGTTAAACGTTATATTAATACTTTTAGGCAGAGACAACGATGTGTACCAATACAGCAGAACAAATGACGAGCAAAGCCTAACACATTTCAGAAGTACAATAAAATCTAAGAATACTTCGTTTTCTGGATCTTCGACATACGATATATCTAATGATTATCAGCAACCATCTGGTCTGTCCACAAACGTTGTTAGTTTCACTCCATCGGGTTCTTCAGCAAGTCCTTCCCCCGATCTTTCTGGAATTGGTTCTTTTATCAGCTCTCCCCGAGACTTGTCAACAGATTCCAAAGAAGATCCCGACACCAGCTGTGAAATTCCAGAAGAAAGTTCTTCTAAGCCAAAGATTTGGTCATTGGCTGACACCGCAACTAGTAAGAGTCCCCCACCACAGCAGGCTAATTTGCAAAACCCTTTTGTACCAGAAGCCCAGGACTGTTTAGTCAGAGGAACTGTTGGAGGAACTGGCACTTGGATAACTTCTGGTAATGGTTATCATAATGGTAGATCAGGAGCAGTCATTCTCAATTCCAGCGGGAAAACATCTGGTTTCTTTTCTAATACCACCTACTCTAGTTATAGTTCCTCCTCAAATTCCGTTTCTCAGCCGTCATCGGGGTCAGTAGTTTACAACGGGGGAGCTCCTACGTTTAGCCCTCTTCCACCTCATGCTGACACCCCACCCGAAACACCGCCAAATATGAAATTATCGTGCAATGCTCCACTGTATCTAGGGTCTTCATCTTCCAATAACTACCTGGCAGCTCAGCATTCTGCCCAACCGTATTTGGTACATGGAACATCATCATCAGGAAGCAGCACTGCATACAGTCTTTCGCACATGACAGGTAAATAGTTTTTATGTACTATCTATCAATGTATCATACCCTTTATATAGGATCTATAAAAATGCTAAGCAAAGACGATACTTTTATTTTTTTTTAAATCTATGTGAAAAACAACAACAATGAAGGGTATTGCAGTTTATGTCGATATGTTAATAGTATATATTAAACATTTATTGTGTGCAAATGTACAAACAGAAAGTTTAATACACCAGAATATCCGAACATTTTCTGCAGACGGTTATCTTAATTTTTTCTAAATGTGTTTTAAATCAGATAGATGCACAACACATAGAAAACCATCATCTTAATTCAACGTATAACGTATCTAGTGGATAACATTGTTAAATCTATCTCATAAGAATACATAGTTCAGTCTTATCGAATAACAAAATATTTCGAAAAACCCTACTTGTGCTATTTGTTATATGTCTCATACAAAACAGTTTGGCAAGAAAACAAATAACTTCATACATGTATTAAATGAAAACAGATTAGCATATTTGATTCAGTATTTATTTATCATATCTCTCTGTTAGAGATTCATTCCTTCACTGTCGATCTATACATTCTACTCTTCAAATATAGTTTAATTTTTATATATCAGAAACTGTACATTGGCCCAAGAATCTAGTTGTAACAGGTACCTAAACCTTGTTCTTCCAGTTATGCTTGTATTTGTTTACCCAGCGTTTTCGTTGCTATGCAACTATCAGTTGTTTGTAGTGATATATGTCTACGACGTGATCATAGCTGCAACACTCAACGCCATTTTCAGACAAAATTGAAACCTACTTTCCATTATAATGGAATCAATTAACTAAGCGCGTTTCCACAACCAAATGCTAGGTTAAAGTATTGATTTCCCTGAATACCATACCACTAACTTCTTACATTACAGTAACATTTTCTTTGAATATCCGTTTCACTTTCTATACATGTCAGTCGAATCATTATTAAGTATGACTATTGTATTTATATATTGAATATTAAAACAAGAAGTCTCAAAAACAGTTATGTTATTCCAAACGAAATAAACAAACTATAAGCTTAAAAAGCTCGAAATATATTTCATTCTATTACAAATTAAGTTTGTAACTTAATATATTTCGTAAAATAAAAAATATTTTTACAGTGAGGCAGTCAATAATTGCATGTATTTATATAATTATAAATAACTTACCCTGATGAAGGCGAATAATAATTTTTAAGTTTATAACTAATTATTTTGCTGAATATATGAGAGGATTAGTTTTGTGTAACTTTCGCATTTCAGGCTTATAGTGAACACAGTGTCAAAGAACGGAAACTTTCTAACATTATCTGGTATATGTATAAATCGTTTATCTAAGATCAGCACTATGTTAAAAATATTCCCCAGGATTAATTGCTTTATTCATTATATTTATTTCCAGCTGATCAGATCTCTCTACCTGTCTTTTTTTTCTGGTTTGCAGGTGATAAAGTCAGCAACGTATATTCAATGAACTATATAGGGTCGTCTTCCTATAGGCCAGACTGTGTGATAAACGACTACTACAATCAATGAAAATATTCCTATTATTTCATGATTGTAAGTGTTCGTCAAGTTAAGATTCCCGTGAAAAACCATTTTCATGTCATTTTAAAGAAGTGAAGAGAGCACGAAGGCTGCCTTCATTTTGTTGACAGCTGCTTTGGCTAAGCTCTTGGATAAACAAGCACTTGCCCCATTATCTGTTTTTAAAACTTATACACATGGGATTTGATAAGTTCATCACCATTTTTCAGTGCTGTCATATAGGATTTATGTATATATAATCTAGTTGATAAACATATAGATAAAATGTTACAGTTTTTCATCTTTTTCCGTATAAGATGTGTGTTTCAGTCACTGTCCCTTCAGTCTCTTCACCATTGATTTGTATTTACTTCTGTACGTTTAATCCTGAATGTATGAAATCATTGTTTATCAAAGGCTTTAGAACTTTTGATAATTTGTATGTTTAAGGATATTTATGATGATATTAAAAAATACATCATAAATGATTTCATGATTGAATTTACTGAGATATTCTTTCTTGTATTCGGAATGCATTATATGAGACTGTTTTTAAGTGAAAAGTGGGAATATATTCATTCTCTTGTATGAAAATAAAGTGAAAGGAAATTCTCATGTTCTTATTGAAAAAAAGAAGAAGAACTCTTGTGTTCGATGTGCGTTTTGTTAGCTGTTTTGATGAACATTCAAGGAAGAACTCTTGTGTTCGATGTGCGCTTTGTTAGTTGTTTTGATGAACATTCAAGTGCGTATGTAATAATGGAGACGAATGTAACAAATCAGATTGTTAGATGTGTTAGCTTGGAACTTCTTGCTTTACAAGATTTTGATCTACCCAAAAGCTTGCCTATGTATTGTTGTATTGATTATGTAGAAGTGTTTGCCGTATATCTGTATGACAGATGTTATTTTAGAATTGATTTTTATTTGCTGCACAGCCCAGTCACCTACATTAAAGACAGTTTTTAATATATCAGGAAAAAAGTAGAGACATATCAGAATTAACGGATAAAAAATAAGTTTCAACAACTGTGTATTTCCTTTTTTATATTTATAATGTGATCATAAAATATAAAAAAAACTGTCTTGTAAATTTGGCCCGCCATTAATTATTACTTTTGTTTTGTAATTGTCTTGTTTTAACATTTTTATGCCTCTCACCAGTGGTTCAGCGGTAAATCTGAGGTCCTATAGCGCTAAAAATTGGGTTTCGATACTCGCGGTGGTCAGAGCATTGTGTAGCTTCGCGCTTAACAAAAAAAAAAACAAACACCTATACGAGTTAGTTAGTTTGCTTTTAATCCTGTGTTAAACTTCCATTAACATTTTATCAACTAAACCTTTTTGAACTTTTGAATTTTGGCTCAGTGTAGACATATACCTTTTGACAATGAACAATGAATATGACATTATTCAACAGTTTCTAGGTATCTTCCAATTAAGACGACTCTTGGACAATTCCATTAATCTTTATTCTCTTCTAAATACTATTGCTCGTAAAGCTGAAAATAACAAATCTCAGCTGATACATCTAATCAACTTTAACTTTTATTAAAAATATCATTATTAACCCTATATGCATGGGTGTGGGTCGAACTGTACACGCCATGTCTTTTACGTAGTGCCATTCAACATGGTATTCTGTATTCATTATCAGAGTTATCAACTATTCATTTTACCTTGCTTATTTAACAGAACTTCATGTTAGAGGAAAGTAAGCACCAGATACATTATATAGAGATACAGAAAATAATTTATATACGCATTTTGGAGGTTCTAGGAGTTACGCAAGTACAATATGTAATTGTACAAGGACAAAAATTGTATTATTCACATGAATATCACCAACTTGTCAGCCCCCAGTGGCACAGCGGTATGTTTGCGGACTTACAACGCTAGAAACCGGGTTTCGATACCCGTGGTGGGCAGAGCACAGGTAGTCCTTTGTGTAGCTTTGTGCTTACCTTCAAACAAATAAACCGACTTGTCAAAGTCGGAGTCAGACTGATGTATTCGATTCACAGACATATCTTGAATATAAATAGTTTATAACACATTTAATTTTCTTTTTTTGTGAGTACAATAGATGTGTACAAATTACTAAAAATTTAACGCAATAATAATCAACATAATAATAGTCAGCATTCTTTCTTCAATACTGGGTCGCGCGCGACCCGTGCTCGTTCGGTTAATGTACTTCATGAATATACGTCAAAATAGAAGAACATTCACATTATAAAATTAATGATAATATAAAATTAAAAAAAACTTTATAGACGCTTTTATACTGAAAATATCATTAGATTTTCGAAAGAGTAAAAATGATCTAGAAAAGAAAAAAATATTTTTAATTCGAAATTTCACTGAACGACACCGTATTAAGTAAAGTCAGAAAAACTGACACTGTTTTTCCATACAGCGACGTTGTTGAATTAGAAGTTATTTATAGATCCGCATTTCTGAAACAATCAAATATCATTTTGTTATCAGATTTAACTTAATTATGTTTTATTCATAAACAATATTGTACTAAACAGAATGAAATATTAATCATTTCTAGTTTTGAAACAATTTCTATATACTGAAATGTGTTTACTTCTTTATTTATTTGTATATTATAATGAGAGGACATTTTACTCTAAAAATTAAGTAGATATATACATCAAAATTGCTCAGCGTACTTTAAATACTTAACTGCTTTTCTGAGATATTACTGATTGGATATTTGATAGTGCAAAAATGAAACTATCAGTGGTCACGATTTTATGATAATATGTTTAATTGCAAACTTAATATTTTTTGTTGTGTTCGGTACACATATTACGCGAAAATTAAATCTATATAAATTAATTAAAACCATGATGAAACAAAAAAGAAATACAGGTTTTATAAATACAAACACGTCAACAAAATTAAAGTACCTGAGTGTTTTTGTCACTGAAAATTTTCTTTAAATTACAGCCATGTATTTGCATCTTCATATGTTATACTTCTTAGGCTTTATATAAGTACTTGTCGTATAGTTTTCGAACAAAGAAAATATTGTCGTCATCAAAATAGTTTTAGGATATGTGATAAGAGTAAAGTATAAAGGATTTAAAAAATTAACATTTCAAAACTTTGTAAATCCTGATGTTTTATAAATGTGTACTTGGTTTGGATAGATACACTAATGGAAAGAATCAGATAAAGGACTTGATTATTTGATGAAGTTTGCAGCTATTGAAATTATACTATTTTGCAATTTCAAATTACACTTTCCAGAAGGCTTGAATTGTGGAAATTTACACACACTACTCTCAAAAATATTTAAAAAGTATGCCTGGTTAAAAGTACGTTTGCAACTAATGACAATGAAGTTTCAATCTCCACTTAACTATATAATAGTTGACTCATAATCTAAGGAAAAAATTATTCATGTTTCACAACTCAATTAAAAAGTATGTAATCAATGTATTGAGTTATTATTCGATTTTTCTGTAATATGGTATTTTATTGAATTACTACTACAACCACTCACATGTTCATGTTTTGTTTTATAAATCTGAAATAATTTCATGTAGTGTGTCACCATCTTTACGAAACTAATTTTACTTTCTGAAACCTACGTGTATGATGGTGTTTTTAATGTATGTTCGTTGTTGTGATTGTTTTTCGTAAAGTTATTATGAAAAAACAAACCAATGAAGTTACAAAATTTTCTATTATACTCCCTTGTAAAATTGTTTTCCTGTTATTGTTTTTGCAATTAGAATTCTATGATTTTTATATAATTTACAAAGCTTGAATATTTAAAAAGTATTATGATTATGATTTATTACATATTCATAACTAACGTAATGATTCAGTTTAATCTAGTACATTTTTATAGTACCAAAAAGCTTTGTGATGGATTTTAGATATAAAAGAATTAAAACCTCTTCTAAACATATTTGTTCGGAATCCCTTAACAGTCTGTGATAGCCCTCTTTAAAACACTTGAAGCATTGAATTGTTGAAACTTGATTTTTTGGGGCAGATTTTCTTGGATTGTATGTACATACTATATCAAAATATAGATATATATATATCATAGAATGTACTCTGATCATTTCTATTGTATATATTTCGTGGTATTTAAATAAACATTCATTTCCGTACTCGTATTTTCCTAAAGCTGTTATGCATCATTTTTATAAGTTTTCTATGGACTTCAAAACCAATTTAAGACTTGTACGACTTATGATATGGTGTTCTTATTTTATCACTCAAGACAGAAGAGGTTTCATAATATATATTTATCAAGTAACGTTTAGAGGCAATAATTCATACAAAGTGGCAACTCGCCATCATATCTATTAGATTTTATTTTCTAAGAAGCTGAAACTTCAGCGGTAGGAGAGCTGAACATACAACTCTGCGTTCTGAAAACTGAAAATTAGGACGTGATGAGAATTGAACATACAACTCTGCGTTATGAAAGCTGAAAACGAGGACGTGATAAGAGTTTAACAGGCAACTACGCCTATTGAAAACTGAAAATTAAGACGTAGCGATAATTGAAAAACAACTCTTACTACTTAACAGATGCTTTCAATCAACTACAGTAGCGCATTTCACTAAAGCATTCCTGCTAATCAGAAACACGGATTTGAATCTCTTCAAGTCTCAAATGTATTTTCCTAGAAAACAAATATCTACCTCCAGGTACCATTAACTATTTCTGTTGGTAAATAGCATAGAAATGTAATTTCTTTTAGGGCTGACACAGTTAATGGGCAATAGATACTTCTTTCATCATTAAACTACAAATCGAATTGGCATTTAAACTTGAGGAAAATTAATTATGTAAATGTGTCATAGTTCTTTTACGCACCCCTAATAGTGTAGGGATAGAGCTGATTTTATTTTCTCTTCAAAATACGGAGGATTTATTTTATAAGAACAATGTTCCGGGTCCTATATGACTTAAAACGACTTCTCCCATCGTCGATTGTGCTCAAGCCCGATGGTCATGATTATACTTGGCTGTCTGACACTTTCTATGGTAGTAAGCTTCTGTACATGACGGCAAGGTCAATCTTAGATCATACATCTTAACACACTCTTCCAAGACCTTCTGCTGGACGTATATGTCTGCTTCCAAAACACATTCTACTGGACGTGTATGTCTGCTTTCAAAACACATTCTGCTGGACGTGTATGTCTGCTTCCAAAACACCTTCTACTGGATGTATACGTCTGCGCTCAAAACACATTCTGCTGGACGTGTATGCCTGCTTCCAAAACACCTTCTACTGGATGTATACGTCTGCGCTCAAAACACATTCTGCTGGACGTGTATGCCTGCTTCCAAAACCATGTTCAAGCAAACCAAATTCTCCAAGTTCGTACAAACACTGCTTGAAGTTACCTTGGCTTCTTGGTGCTCTGGCCAAACAATGTTAGAGTTTTATCTTACACAATTGGTGTTAGTACTTTCTTTAGAGAGTATCTGGAATTCAACTTAGTTTCAATGCGTTATGAAATCTAAATTTCCCATTATGCGAGAAATCAGCTGCGTTCACGAAGCTAGTCGAAAATCGACATCCAGACCTTATCCAGTGTTGTACTGATCCTGAATCTTTCATGTATAAAGTATTTTTTGTATATATTTTTCTGCACTTTGTTTTTATCTCAGCATTATATCTAATGAGAACTTTAAGCAATCGCTGTTTATGCCTTTTTTTAAATTAGAATATTTGCAACTTTTTGGATTACCAACCTATGAATTTTGGCAATATTAGTGGCAGTTCTGCTTGTGATGAAATGCTGTTTAAATTAGTTACATCGTTATTAGCGTGTGTCGATCTTTCTTTTCTTAAGCTATTCACTATAATCATATATGAAATCAAATAAGCTTTGTATCTCTCAGAAATAGCTGTGACAATCTCCTTCAGTCCTAAGTTTCCTATTCGTAAGGGTATTGCACTGTTGAATGGTTGGAAAATCACAATGAACCAAATATGTAAGTTCTAAACATG